TGCCAGGAAGGGGGGAGCAGCATTTCAAATGCCAGTGAGCTGGAGGATGCTTGTGGGGTGTAAGGGAAGAACTGGGAGCAGAAGGGTGCCTCCCTCAGACCTGCCAGGTCAGGAGCAGCTGCAGCCCTTCTGCCAAGGGACTGAGCGAAAGGATTAAGGGCCTGAGCTACCACTGTCCATGGGATTAACCCCTGCAGGAAATTAAAGTTGCAGAGAAGGCTCTTCACAGCTGAGAGAAAGAGAAAAACTGGGATCTGGATTAGAACTGGCAGGGCTGGTGACAAGCCACCACCCACAGCCAACTGTTCCCGGCTGGATCAGAAAATGTTATCTCAACCTTCATGTAGAACCCCCCTCCACATCTCGGTTACCAATTTTTGCCAACAGTGTGAGAAGAGCAAAAACATCATTCTGTGGAAAGAAAAAGAGGAGGAAACTGGGTAGTCAACTCACGTGTCCCTCCTCTGAGCCCCTCTCCCACTCCCTCACCCGTTTGCCTTCTCAGCTGCCTCCATTTCGCATGGAGGAAACATGCACGTGGTCTGTCGCGTTCAATAATACTTGGAGAAGATGCTGGCACACACAGGGCTGGATTTCTTCCTGTCAACTGCCCCCTCAGATCTCCTCCTGCTGCTGCTCTGGGCCTCCTCCATATGCTGCACTCGCACTGTGCTGGGAATTTCCTGTCACTCCTGTGTTGGATATCCCAGTCTCTGCACCTGCTTCCACAGCTTCCCAAGGAATTCCACATCTCCACAGCAATCTGGGTCTTTCCCAGCAGTGCTACCCTCCCTGGCTCCCCTTCAGATGCTCTGTACTTTCTCAGAGGGTTTGCTGAGGCCTTTATGTCCTTGGTATTTCCAGCCTCTCCAGCATCTCCCAGTCTAATTATTGTGCATTGGTCAGGGAGGTTTGGGATGCAAATAATGTTTACTGGTATAGGTACAGAATGAGAAGTCAAGAAAACTGTCTTCTCTCCTGCTTTTGCCACAGGCCTGTCAGGAAACTCTGGGAAAATCTGGCCAAAACTCCTTTATTCTGTGTAATTTTGGTAAGCCCTACAAGTACTCTCTGCAGGACAGGAGAGTATTTACAAGCCCAAGTGCAAGTGCTGCTCTTAACAGCTTTGAAAATCCTGAGTGGGGAACTAATGTGGGCTTATGATGAAGTATCAAAAGCAAGGCAGCCAAAATTTCACCCAGCCAAACTCAATAGCCATTTTTACTGTATCATAGTTTGCCCCTCCATAATAAGGGGATAAAATTGATCTTTCTTGGAGGGCCTTGGGGAGGAAATTTTTTTTAACATTTGCATTTCAGAGGTGTCTACACATTGCCAATCCAAAAATCAGAAGCTTTTTGACCTCTTCACATCACAGAGAAAAGGGTGTGGTTTTTATTCACACCAAGTCAGGAATGTGGCAGAGTCCCTTACAATACCAAGTGGTCTTTGCACGCTTTCTGCTTCCTTTACAGCTTTCTGTTCGAGGTGCTTTGCTTAGCTGTGATTGATCACTGCAAGTCAGAGGGCACCATTTCTTCAGCAGCTGGGTTTTTTGTGCGAATTCAAAATGTGCTTTCCATTGATTGTGACAGCACAACACTAATGAATCCTGAACACATGTGTTAATAAATCAGCAAGTGCTGCAAATGAAGCCCTCAGCTATTTAACTTAGAAGCTCACTGGGGCAGTGACACACACTGTATGCTTCCACAGTGCTGCTGAGCTTTGCTGCCACCTCTGTGTGCTTTTGCAGTCCCAACAGATGACAAATGAAGAGCTGCCACCGCGACAATGTGACCTCTGGTGATCGATAATTTGCATGACTAACTTAGGTCTCTTGGAGGACCAAGAATGGGCATCATCTCCATGCCATCTAAACCCACTTGGGGTGTATTAATCAGGCCACACAGCTGACATCTCTTCCTGCTGCCTGTGACTCTTGCCCCCCAAGGGCTGATAAAGGAATAGGCATAAAACATACTTTAGTCACGGGGTGCTGGGGTACCACTGTCCCCCTCCATTATGGGGGGATACTAATAAAACATGAATCCTAAAAGCAACAAGGAAAGGGGAAGGGAGGACGATAATCTCCTTAAAGCGTCCTCCATGCCCTCCCTTACTCTGCTGTTTTTCTGATGAAGGCTAAAGCAATTCAGCATCAGAAAGGGGAAAGGGACTTTGCTATCAAGGAGATTGTGGGGGAGGGATGAATGTCTGTGTATACTTTCTGATAATTTATTGCTGGCATCTGTTGCAGCCTCTGCTACCTACCCTTCTGCAATATAGGTCACCCACATGCCCTGCCAATGCTCATAAGCCAGGCTGTTAACGGAGTCTGATCCCTGAGCCATGATCCAAGGGTTAGTGCAAAGGACTAGGAGAGATAATCAGAGACAGAAGTTGCTGGGCTCTGTTTCTCACAATGTCTCATCCTAGTGACACAGTCACCTGTCTCTCTAGCCTCAGTGTTGCTGTCTGGAAAATGGAATACCTTTATCCACCTGCCCAGAGCAGAGGCACTACTGGCTGTTATCTCAGCCTTACTTCTGGAGGTCATTAAATACAAAATAACACCACCTACAACTATGGTAAGAGCCATTCGTAGAGCAGAGGGAAAGCTTTGGATAGAAGATGTCACAGAATTAAGAAGTGTTATGAAATCAGTATGTGGATGCAGTTTACTGAAACCCTCCCCTCTCTCATAGCATGATCCTTGGGACCCTACCCACAAAACCTAAGGCTTTGGAGTGATACTGCAAACATTACTGGTGTCTGGGTAGAGAGAAGCAAAGCACAGGGGTAGTGCCTGCTGTAGTTTTTATGCCCTGGCAAGTGCTGCAAAATCATTACAATCTCCTCTGCATCCCACCACCCCCTCCCCCCCCCAGCAGTAAAGTTCCCTGTTCAATCTAATTAGGGGAATCCTCATTAGAGAGTCCTCTAGAGTCTGACAGCAGGCCAAATGTCCAAGTGGCACTTCAACTCGGTGTATTTTTGGCCACTGGAGCCCATGGGCCAGAAACGGATGACTTCATTTTGTTGCTTTGAGCTGAAACTAAAAAAGTTGTCTTTTACTGTCCTATATGAAAAAGTAAGAAGAAAAGGGCATCACCAGCCCCACAGGCTTCTCTGTTAATTTCTCCAGAATCTGGAAAAGACATGTAACTCCAAATACATGGAAGAAAGCTCCGAACACTATGTCCCAGGGATCACAGGGCATTCAGTTGACATGTTGCTCTAGGGAGAAGGAACCATCTAGTAAGCCCAGGAGAAAGACTAAAGCCTGGTTTGTGGAGCCCTTGGGTGATCTGGGTGACTTCAGAGCACTCAAAGCTCCAGCAATGCTAATCAGCCTCGAGCCCCCAAACCCAAGCAATGCCAGACGTGTTTGGAACAGCACGGTGCCTCTTGTCTTGAGCTGGGGGCACACAGGGGGCACTCAGGTCTGGCAGAGTGCTCACTGCTGCAAAAATCCCTGGCTGTTTGGCTGAAAGCAGCCAGACAGATCTGGCGCTGCTGTGGAGAGGCTTGAGGTGTGGGCAGGTGCTAGTTGCCCCAGGACTGGGTGTTCCCAGTGCTGCACTGGCAGTGAGTGCAGTTGACCTGGTGCTCTGCAGAGCAGAAGACATCTCCTGGGCCACAGCAAAACAGCTAATAAAGTCAGAACTCAAGATAGGTCAGAGAAAACCTTTAAAAAAGAAACTCTCAAAAATCCTCTCTGCTTTCTTGCTCTCTCCTGACTGTGGAATATTAATCACTAAGGGTATAATGTGCTTATGGGCAGTCAATGCGTGGGACAAACTGGGTTTTTTTCCAGATCCTTGGAATTAACATTTCTCCATAAACATTCTACTTCAAGGTACAAATGCAGAAGCTCATTGTCCTCTGCCCTTCAGCAGCCAAGAACCTCCACCTGTTCCAAATCTACTGCTCTGCCACCTGAGCATATGGTGTGCTTGGGGAAGCAGGCAGTTTTGTGGAAGACATGGAGGTTGATAAATATGGGTTACAGAAGAGTCCCCGGCACATGTGCAAGCCCAAGTCCGTGCACATGTTTGTAAATGTAAGCTAGACTGGTGACTATATGTGCATTTGTACATGAAGGCAGTCACTCTGAAGTCTTGGAAACACGTGTATGAGTGCACACAGGGTGGCTGCTATCTACAGGGTGGGAGTGTTGTGTGTATGTGACACGCTTTTAAAATAATCTTGGGTTTATCAAGGCCCCTCCATCTTTGTGCATGTTGCAGTGCAGGAGACAGCATTAAAGCCTGAACAGGTGTTAATCACTATGCACTGTAATAAATTCTAAACATAGGGAAAGGGCTTATTTATACACGGCTGCTCCTCCCACCCTGCACTCTCTGCTTGAGCCCTGGTGCTGCCTGAGAGAAAGAGGCGCCCGCGAGGTACCAGAAACCGGTGCAAGAGGTGGACTTGCCCTGCCAGAGCAGAAGGATCTAGGGGTAGAAACCCTGACCCTGTCACCATCCCCAGGCCTGGGTGTGTGCCAGTCCTGCCCTCAGCCCCCCACTGTCACCTGGGGATGGTGCAGATGAATTGCACAGAGCAGCGAGAGATGTGGTAGAGACATCAGCCCATGGGCTGAGAGGGGGCCTGAGCTGAGGGGAGATCACAGAGGGAAACTGAGTCACAAAGCACTCAAGGAAGCTGATTTTGTTTTGCTTTTTTTAAAAAAAAAAAAAAAAAAAGCTTAGCCCCCCAATTGGAACTGAGCCAGCTGATACAGATGGGGTGTTACAAAACAGAGCCAAAAAGCAAGAGCACAAGGAACAGAGCTATCTATAACCCTGACAAAAGTTAGATGGAGTGAAGGTGGGGAAGAGGGAAAGACAGAGCGTGGCAGGCGGCTGCCCCTGATGCTGAGAGCAAGGACGTGATCATTTGGCAACAGGATTTGGAGCTGATCGACTCGCGCTATCCAGCAGGCAGATAAGGCTCTGTGGCTGTCAGCTTAACTCTGCCGTTTATTCCAGTGCTGTAGGGAGTTAAATAGAGCACACGGAAAGCCTGCTGCTGGGGAATGAAAGTCAAGGAGGGAAAGGGAAGGAAGAGGCTGTAATTGGGCAGTGTCCGGGGAATCGGGTGGAAGTGGCTGCAGGCAGAAACCCCTCCAGGTAAGTGCTTGTGGCTTTTCATCCTCCTTTTCAATATGGACAGGCGAGGAAAGGAGACCTCAGGGGTGGCATTTAGGATGGAGACATTTATATGGGGGGAGCTGAAAGTCTCCTCAGTCAGGTCGAGCGCAAGCACCAAATGGGGACAGCTATTTGTTGCAGCTTCTCCTTCAGTGGGGGCTGCAGGGAAAGGGCTCCAGCTCAATTTGGGGAGTGGGGGGGCTGCAGCGGGTGAAGGTCGAATCAGTTTTGGTACCGTGACAGGTATTAATCCATTTGGTGCATTGACATTTAGGTAAGTGATCTAAATAGCCTTGCAAATGTACTAGTCCAGGCACTCAACCTGCTCATCATTCTCATCAAGATGCTAATTTAAATATTCTTCTGGTGGTTTACATTCCCATATAAAATAAATCAGTCATGGGAGCCTGGGGGAGGGTAGGGAGCTGGCACGTGTGTGGGGAGAGCACCCTGGTGGGAGTGCAGTGCCCAGCTAAAATAACGGCCGTGGATGTTGTCAGAGCCCCTCAGAGGGGATGGAGCAGGGTTTATTTCTGTACTCTGCTTGAAATGCGTCCATCTGACTGCTGCTGCGACTGTGGGTGGCACAGAGTCAGGGAGTACGCAGGGAGATAGAAGGGTTTGTGGTGTTTTCCTTTTTCCTGCCTCCTTATATCCAAAAGGGAAGCAGGAGTGAAGTTGAAACCTGTTGTCAGTCACTTATTGTCAGGGGATAGTTTATGGTCTTTGGGTTTCTAATTAGACTGAGGATTTTTCCTTCTTCTAATTAAGATGCAATTCCCCTCTTCTCAACACTCCCACTCCGTCTCCCCCGCCCCAGGTCCTTTCTTCTCCTCCGAGGCTCCCTTGCTCTTCAGCTCCTGCAGTTGCTGCAGTGGGAAATCCCCGAGCTGATGCTGTTTAACATGTGCTGCTCTAGCCACCACATCCATTTTACCTTAAAACAGACAGGAAGTGCTGGTAGGGAATACGGGGAGGGGGTGGAGAGGGGAGGGGGGGGTGAGGTGGGAGGGAGAAAAGCAGCTTGGCAGCTGCTGGTGCCCAGATAGATCTCCGTGAGCCTGAGCCATGCGTCAGGGAGAGGATGCACAGGTGGTACCAGGCAGCGTGGAGGCGACAGGAATGAGCTGGAGTCTGCTGCCCTGGCAGGGTCACCTTAGCAATTCATCAGGCTAACCTTGAGCATGAGGTTAATGTAGCCACCACGGCAGGCTATTCAAGCACGAACTTCTCTCTCTGGCACTTAGGTGAAATCAGGCCTTTGTTCTGCACTGTGAGGTTCAAAATGAATTAACATTGAGCCTTCAACACGCTGTGCCTCCTGAAACATCCTCCAACATCCTCCATTTCTCCTCCAAAACAAAGATGATGCCTCGAAGGCAAAACACTAGCTGGGGAGGGGAAAGGACAACACTGAGCCCAGCCCCATGCTCTGCACCCAGAGAACTGAATCTCATCTGCTCTGCTCTGCTTTCTCACTCCAGGACCTGGCAGGCAGGCTACAAGATCATTCCTTCTCTTTTTGGGGCTGTGTGCCAGGCTGGCTGTTGGATGTGAAGACAAGCTGGAGAAGACAACGATGCTGCCTACAACTGCTGGCCACCGGTGGAGGAGCAGGTTCCTCATGAGGTGGCAAGAGGCTTGTCGTAAGTAATGCCTACTCAGGTACTCAGTACGATATTCCTGTTTGTCAAGGGAGTGGGAAGAAAATAGGTCACATCAGGGTTAAGAATAGGGGAGAGGGACAGCTAAGAATGGAGATGTTTGAACTAATTCCTGATTCTTTTAGAGGCCAGGCTAGCTGGGAGGGAGAGTGAGATTCTAAAGCTGAATATGGGCTTAAAGTGGGACAGCGAGTGATGATTGCTTCTGAATTCCAGTGGGCCTGGCAGGTGAGAAACAGCATGACAGATACCATCACACAAAGATCCACCCTGAGCATTTCTCAAATCAGTATCCTGTAAGCTGCAGGATCCTCTCTATGGTAGGGGTTTATACATAGGCTGCTGAACAAGGCTCCCAGCTCTTCACAGCAGAACTCAAAACAGTTTTTAGTAGGGAATGCAGGATGTGAAGGCAGAATTCTCCTACTGGGCACTGCCACATGTAGCGAAAATCAAGGAGTAAATAAAGAAGATCTCTTTCAAATTAAATTGTAAGCATTCAGCCTGTGCCTATTCCCAGTGGACTGGGGCATCTACTACAGTACCTTTGAGCAGAGACTGCTAAGGTGATATGGCCTTCTGGGAATGTACCTGGAGCTCAGAGAAGCACCTGGGGACCACAGCAAAGGAAAGGGAACGCTTGGAGTGTGTCTATCACTACCACATGCCCAGGCATCAAGTAGGTCTGTGGTTTCCCTTGTTCCAGTCCTCCCGATCAAATTTGGGGCTGCCTGTGTAAGAAGCTGGAGGAATTATTTCCTTCTCCGGAAAACAGGCATCTTTGTAATCCATCCTCACAGACTAGACTGCTTTCTAAATTATTTATAATGAATGCTATTGAGTCTTGACTTAATCTGATATACCTGCATCAGCTTTCTGCCACCTACTAGAGTCACCAAACACCCCACAAAGTAACTTCATATTCCCCTAACATGAAAACACATAATACTCATCCTTCCGTAGGGCTGGAAGACATCTCCAAGTTCTGCCTATGGCTTCCCTGCCTCTCTTTCCTGTGGAGCTGCATCCTAACCAGTGTGATCAATTCCTTGGTGTCAGCTCACATCCCAGTGTGATGCACTTCTTGCAAGGAGATGAAAACGAAATCAGTCTTTCTCTTCTCTGTATGATTTTAGTAAAATATTTCCAAAAGCATACAGCAATGTATGGGTAACAACAAGACATTTTTGGCATATCCCATACATGGCTGCAGAAACTTGGCATAAATCCGTTTCCTGAACATAACCACAGCCAGCTGCCTGAGACTTTGTTCCTACCAGCCGCTGCCAGCACACATACTGGTGGAACCCCACAGCCACCCAGTCAGCGCCGGAGGCAGGCAGGCATTTTGAGAGATAAGCCCTGAGCAGAATGCCACCTGTATAGCATTACACATGGCCTGCTCTTGCCTTTCTTGGTGTACAAAGCAGCTAAGTGTTATCTCATCATCACAGCTGTCAATCTATTATTAATACCGTGCTTTTGTTAAGTATCCAGGAAAAAGACGGGGTCACTTGAGTGACTCATGGCTCTCTCCCTTCCCCATTCTAGCTCCCATTCTTTTAATTCCCTTCCTACAACAAGGCTGTGATGTATTCTGAACAGAATTAAATATCAGCCAGCCAGTCAGTACCTGTACTGCAAGTCCAGAGGCTACAATCTGCTTTCATGGCAATCTCCGCTGTGGACCCCCAACCTCTGCTGTGGACCCCAACCCAACCCTGGTGCTCAGAGTAAAGGTCTGTCTTGTATTTCACCACAAGGATCCATGATTATCATAAAAAGGTCACACATACTGGCATGGCCTGGGCTGATGTATACCCGAGATCTCAACTGCAGGATAGTAAAAAAATTTTTGAAAGGTTGCGAAAGATGGATAAATAAGAGGGAGCTGGGACACTCTCTCTGAAGGCTCATCCCTTTGTCCTTGATAAGGTCATATAGCTTAGGATCCAAAGCGGGTACTTCTCCTTAGGCTACCAGTCCACAAATCTGCCAGTTCTCACAAGGATCTCTGGGAACACAAAAAACACCCTATACAGGATGACAGGGTTTGAGTATGAAGGCACCTTGCTGACAGAAGCCAAGTCGATATAAAAAGTGGGCTATGGGTCAGACTGAGCTCTAGAGGTGGCACAGGGGAAGAGAGGAAGAGCATGGCTGGCTTCAGAACTGTTCCAGGAAGAGTTACTCCAGAGCTTGTGTCTCCACTGGCTCCCTCTCTTGAGGCAGTCCTTTCACAATTTCTTTAGGGCTAAGAAGCAAAACACCTGCATGTTGTTTCTTTGAAAAAAAAGCAGGACAAAAGAAACTGATTTCCAATTTAGGAAAGAATGGTTAGACAATAAATGCATCCACTTTAGCCACCATTCACCCCTAAAAAGACTCTACCAACCCCTAAGTGACTGCCTTCTCTGCAGGAAAGTGAGAAAGGGAGAGGACAGGTCGTGACATAGAGACAAACCTGCTTCAGTTTTAGTCAAATGCTCAAACTTGTCACCTTAAAAACTGCGAGGGAGCTGAATTTGCTTCCCACATTGAAGAATTGTGGAATTCATTGTGCGATCTCAATTCCATGAAAGGAATTAAGTGAAGGATGCAAATGTTTTACACAGACTGCTTAAACATAACTCCCACTCCTCTAATTACAGGAGGCGCAAAGCTCGCTTTCCCATTGATATTGCTTCTTTGTCACTGAAATGAGAGTCTTGGAAGCCACTGGCACCCAGGGAGGGTTGGTAACAAGTGTCCTGATTCCACTAAGAGGATCTGAACCCATGTCTGGCATGGTGATCCAAAGCAGCTCCAATAAAAAAAAAATAAAAATGCAGATTTGTGGAGTGTCTGACCTTAGCTTCGAGACACTGCAGGAGAAAGGGTGCACATGCTAACCCTTTTCCTAACACCTTTCTTCAGTTACCAACCTGGAATTTTTTTCCTCATTCCATTGCTGCGGGCAGTTTCAGTCAGAGGACTATTGCTACAGGATTATGAAACTGTTTTGAGAGCAGTGGCAAGTTCCAGGTGTCCAGTCCAGGGACTTCTTTACTAGCTTTCTTGGTCATCCCTTTGTAATGTAAACTAATTAATTAAAAGGCCCACACGACACACTATGAATGTGGTAAAGCAAATGATACCCTGATGTAGAGGCTGACTTAGGACCTGAGTCTGATCTATCACAAATCTTAGAATTTAAGCTGCAGGAAAGCAAATGAGATGTAGCTTGTTTCGTTTTCCTTTTTTTTTTTTTAAAGAGCTTTTCAATAACATGTCTATTCCTGAAAAAAAAGAGCTTCTTAAATATAAACTGGTTCCTCCTCTCTCTACCCTGACTGTTTAGAAAGAGTTGTCCTTTATCAGAGGTGACACCTCCCACTGCTCTCTGCTCTATTCTCCTCTGACAGGTACCTGTGCTCCAGTATCTGTCAGCAAAGTCCTCTGGGATGCACTGTTCTAACTTCTTCATGAAACTGGAAGGATATTTACTTGCTCGTAAAAAATAAAGGCTAAGGGGAAAGTCACACTGTGAGGGTGCAGGCCAGCAGTAAAGGGACGTAGCTGTGAGGAAATTCATTACACTGTGGGGCGTTGCAGCGAGGGGTCCTGCTGCGAGGGTTGTATTGTGGCTACAACAGTGCTCAAGGCAGCGATGGGTGAGGGTGGGAAAGCCCTGCTCTAACACATGCACTTTTTTCCCTGCTTTTCACCCACCAGTGCTTGGCTGTTGGCTGTCGCTATGTGCTGCTGAGTCCTTCTTTGCTTGTCCTTCCTCCTGCAAGTGTAACAGTGGCAACCTGGAAGTGGACTGTAGTGGCTTGGGCCTCTCTTCCATTCCCTCAGACATCCCCACAAACACCAGGACCTTCCTCTTTCTCAACAACAAACTCAGCATCCTGCCAGGAGCAGTGTTTTCCAACCTCTCCGCTCTACAGAGGCTGGATCTATCCAACAACTTCTTGGACCAGCTCCCTCAGAACATCTTCAGTGACCTGGGGAACCTCACGGAGCTCCAGCTGAGGAACAACAGCATTCGGGCCTTGGACAAGGACCTGTTACAGCACACGGCCCTGCTGCGTCAGCTGGACCTCTCCATCAACGGCCTGGCCCAGATCCCCTCGGGAATCTTTGACGACCTGCCTGCTCTCCGCTCCCTGTCTCTCAGGTCCAACCGCCTGCAGAGCCTGGACAGGGTGACCTTCGAACCGCTAACCAGCCTGCAGCTTCTCCAAGTCGGGGATAACCCCTGGGAATGTGACTGCAACCTCCGAGACTTCAAGCACTGGATGGAGTGGTTCTCCTACCGAGGTAGGTGCTCGCGCCACGGGAGTGGAAGTGCGGAAGTGCTGCTCTTCCATGGAAGGGCAAACAAAGGCAGGGGAGAAACACTAGCAGATATACATCTGTCAGCTCAGGCTGACCTGAATGACGCGTCTTAACCAAAGAGCATGAGGACCATACTACAGTTTGGTGCTACTGCACGTTTGTACGACAACACTGCCAGGCTGGGGAGTCCTCTGCAGCCCCAGATCTCCTATTTCCTTGTTTTGTTTCTATTCTGAACAATTATCTCCCCTTTTTTTTTTTTTCTTTTTTTGTTTTAACACTGGGAGAAGAAAGAACTTTTCCCAAGTAACATCAAAATTTTAGGATTATGAGTTCACCTCACCCTTTCTGCCTAAAGAGAAGAAATGCTTTTCACACTTGAAAATAACCATCCCATTCTCTTTCTTAAGCCAAGAGAACTGAAAGTCAGACTTGGCTGTAAAGCATCAGGTTTTCTGCCAACAATAGGACCATAGGCAAAGGTGCCATTTAGGAAAAACACTCCAACTAATATTGGCAAACCCAAACTTAAAGTTCAAATTTACAAGCCAGGCCCCAAGTCAGGCTAGCTCTAAAATCATCATTTTAAAGCAAGCAGTTTTTGACAAGTTTGTATTTCCAGCTTTTCCTTGAAACACAGAAGGCTGGCAAGGTACATATCACTTATGGGGAATGCTGATGGGATGACATATTTTTAGGAGCTGCAACTCAAAGAAAGATGGCACATTTTACAGGAATGACGATTGAAGGCCTGACCTTCTGTTACTGGAGCCAGTGAGTAGGAAAGGGTCTCAAATCATGCGGATAGCAACAGTCAGCTGTCACATCCCTGCTGATCACAGCCATGCTGCAAGAAGATTATCTCTGCCTATGGCTACACTGCAGTCTGAAATATGCGTTTGTGTGAGCAGAATCAAACAAGCATACAAGTGCCACTGTCCTCTTTTTTTCATCTTTGGTTTGTTTTCTTTCTTCACTCCCATATCACACGATATGTCAATGGAAAGCACACAGAGGTAACTTTGCTTTTTTCCTCCCCCTCCAAAGAAATTGCCCAAACTCACTCAGGCATTTGTTTCATCATCTGTCATTATTTTCACAGAGATGGATTTGTTGTTAGAAGATGGAACCATGTATCTGTTGTTATTTTGAGAAGTTACAGCCTGGTCCTGTCTTTTTGCTTTTATTTCTCCTTTTATAAAACAGTTCTACTGACACTTACATAACTCACTAAACAATATGGGGCTGACTTAATAAACGTTTTCAGAGGGCTTTCGCGTCTTGGCCTGAAAGATGTCTATGCACATATCATGCACCATGAGCTCTAGTGTGGAACCCAGCCTAGGCAGAATCGTATCAGCCAGCTGACATGGTTGAAACTTCTGCAGGGAAAATACTCAGCAGATGTGAACGGGGCCCATGAACTCAGTCCGCCTCAGGATCTATCTCTGCTGTCTCTGTCACAGGATGAAGCTGTGATTCACTCCTGTTATCTCTATTGGAACAGGTGGGAAAATTGACCAGCTGGCATGTACCCTGCCCAAGGAGCTGAAAGGGAAGGATATGCGAATGGTACCCATGGAGATGTTTAACTACTGCTCCCAGCTGGATGATGAGAACAGCTCTACAGTGCTGGACAATACTGGCCCACCCTGCACTAAAGGAAGCCCAGCTCCTTCCAAATCTAAATCAGGCCCAGAAACAGAAGTGGAGCCCAGTGTGGGATGCCCTCAGAAACAGCGATACAGGCCCGTGAGCGTGCGCCGGGCCATTGGCACTGTGATCATTGCAGGGGTGGTTTGTGGCATCGTTTGCATCATGATGGTGGTGGCAGCTGCTTATGGCTGCATTTATGCCTCCCTCATGGCCAAGTACCACCGGGAGCTAAAGAAGAGGCAGCCGCTCATGGGTGACACGGAAGGTGAACATGAAGAACAAAAACAAATCTCCTCTGTGGCGTGAAACTCTTCTAGGAAGGAAAGGACAGCGATGAAAAAAAGGTACCTGAGAGCAGTCAAGCATGGGGTCCTCCCAAAATACATCTTCCCAGACAGAGTGACAGACTGTGCTATTGCTCCACTCACCCAAGTAGTGCAACATGCTTCTGGGGGGTCAGGGCACCTGGCTCAATTTCTTTTCCTCTGCCCCAGGCCCATTTTGTGCCCTTTCACCCTTGGGGCCTCCCAGACAAAATAAAGTAGAGTCAGACCTCGAGTGCTTGCTGTGCCTCATGCCCTCGCACAGAGCTTCCCTCACATGCCTGCTGCAAAGGCAGCTGGCACATTCTGGGAACCTGTGTTGTTCTCTCAGCATCGGTCCTGAGTCGTCCTGTATCCTGTCAAGAGTTCTCTGCAAACCGAGAGCAGCTCTGGGAAAGCTTATGTGGGAAGCAAGGACACCAGAAGTGTCCATGCCTCACTGTTGGGTCACTGCTGTTGTGTGACAGCAAGTTGCTGTCTACCTACAAGTCAGTGCTCCTTACATCAGAAAGGAGGGAAGGTCCCCAGGGTAGGACAATAGTCAGTGGGAGAGTTCCCTTCTCATTTTTAAAGGTGGCAAGATAACCTGTATCACTTTAACACACTGCCAGGAGCACAGCGTCCCTCTTTTTGCTCCTGGCCAAGTCCAAATCTGTGAGCTGACACACACGTCATCTCCTACAGGTGCACAGACACGGAGTCACCCTCCTGTACACACACACACTGACTCATTTTGATCCCAGCATGCACACAGAGCCAGCCCTAGTTCCAGACATCCAGGCAACCCACCTGCACATGCAGAGCCACACATGCCCATGCTGATCTGCCCTCTGTGTGTGTTGAACACATTCAGCCACTTTACCTTACCATGATCACGGCAGTGCATATCACCTTCTACTTCAGACAAGATACATCCACACTGCCACTGAGGAGCTAACAGAAACATCCCAGCCCTAGTGCAGAGCCAGTGGAAACTGGCAGGAGACGACAGAGAGAGGCAAAGTTATTGAGATTACAGCATGAGTCTGTGGGAATAAGTACACAGCATGAAAAAAAATAAGGTGTATTCTTCTTATCTACGTATCAGAGATCTTCTGATCAAGATCAGATCTTCTGATCTACGTATCAGAGAATCTACATTTTCTCTGATAAATGGAGAGGGTAAGGATACGAAGCCTCCATTTAGAAATGTTTGGCTGGCAGAGTAGAACTGGGTCATCAGGAAAGACTAGAGGAGGAGGTGGCTTACCAGCCTCAGCAGCATAAGCCACGCTGAGTAGTGTGAGCCTGGGGAAAAGTGTCAGGGGGAGAAGTCACACAACTGGCGTGGGTGGCAGAGGGGCCAGCATGGTGTGTGGAGCAGGGTGATGCAGCTGGGGTGACTGAAAAGAGTGGGCGCCATTCTGGGGGGTCTTGAGCTGAAGGCTGAAGCCCGGACCACCGTGTGGCAGGCATGAGGAGAGCCCGGGAAGGGTCTGGTATGGAAGGCAGCACAGTCCACAGACACTCCCTTCACCATCACTGGTGTGTTTGACGCCATCCACAGCTGCACACGAGTGTGCCCACACACACAACTGCGCACACTGCCACTGTCACGTAGGGTGACTTCCCCCAGCCAGACTTTAAAGCCCTCAGACTGCAGTGCCTCCTATTAGTCTTTGCTCATTCTGACCTGACAGGGGAAAAAAAAAAAAAAAAGCGAGAGGGGAAAAAAATGAAAGGAACTCAACATAAGGACTCATTTTGTATCACTGGAAGTGGGATAAAATGCTGTCTCCAGGGGAGAGCGCACATTGCCATGGTAACCTGCTCTAACCCATCACAGTGGGTATTCCTGGGCGAGGAAGATGACACCGGAGGTCGTGCATCCACAGTGCCTGTGGATGGTGTGATCCCTGCCATCAGGAAACAAGCTGGCAGCCAGCCCAGCTTTGCAGGGTGTTTCACCGACAACCTGTGTTCAGAGCCCAGCATGCACTGCAGGTGGACCCTGCCAGGGCACATCACCTCTTCCACCTGCTCCATCTGAATCCCAATGCCTTCGGACATCTCACAGCCCTTCTGCTCGCTGTGACCAGATCCCTGTGGAAGCAGTGCACGCTGGCTCCTCACGCCCTTCTGGCCCCAGACAGGTGGGGGGCACACAGCATCTTTAATCAAAGCCTGGAGTGGCAAAATCCCTCCTGGTCTACCCAGGGTGACCAGAGGCAAGGAGACAGGATGCTCTGGACTGTTTAAGCATGACTTCCCTTCAACACAGAGATGCATGGGACAGGGGAGGATTTTCATCAGGAAGCAGAAGACAAGGCTGCCACAGAGGAACAACTGGGAGAAGCAGTCCACCCACAAGTGTGCACACACTGCTACCAGCACACTGCTTGTGAGGAAAAGGAAGAGGAGGGCTGGCAAGATGTGAGGAGGAAGGACTCTCACCCCTTACATTGTATAGCCACTCCAACCATCCCATCTGCTCCAAGTGTAGCCCGTTCTAAAGGGCAGAACTGATGCACTGCAGACTCCATATGCGTGTCACTGCTGCTCCACATTCCCAGCAAGCCAGGACTAGACTCTGCCTGCTGGATCCAAACCTCTCCCCAACCTCCCTCTCAGGGGAACTTCTCCCTTTTCCATACCGGACTCCGCAATCATACTTGAAATGGGACTTGAGTCAGAGTGGTATATTTATAGATCTATATTTTACTTGCATCAAATAATGGTGAAATATTGCACAAAACAAATGGGATCTATATATGTGTGTGTGTGTATGTGTGTGTGTGAGTGAGCAAGAGAGTGAGAGATTGTTTTTAAGGGAATAGACTAGAGCAAAAATGAATGGGAGAAAGGCAGGGCACACTGCAGGGGCTGAGGGGATGAAATCCTCCTTTCCCTGCACCTTCTCTGTGACTTCCTCCAGCCCTGACCAATTTTTCTTTGTTGCTAATAATATTTTCTATATCTTGTGTTGTGGGGCCGATGATGACCTTGCCCATCCTTTCCTTTTTCGTTTTAATTTATACAGCAGAAAGTCTGGATTTATCTCAACCCTAGACGAGGGACTGCTATGTTTAGAAACCCACCCAAGAGAGGAGAGAACTGAGTGTTGCTGAGAAATATGAAGGCTGGCTGCTATGGGGAGTCCCGCTGGAAAGCAAATACTGTGCTTGGAAGGATGAGGACCTCTCACATGCAGAGCAGAGCAACTGGGTTCACTGGGAAATGCCCTCTTCATGCCACTGTTTGCAAACAGGCTCTTCCTCCCTTCCCTAGCACACCTGGAAAAGAGGTCTGAGCTGCTGCACTGTCCACAGGCACACTAGGGAACACGTGGTCCAAAACAAAGCTCTCCTGTGGGATGCTGGATACAGAACAAGACCCAGTGCTCCTTGTGTGCTCAGCCAATGAGTTCCTTTGGTGTGTGGAGACAGGGGTTCCTGTTATCCCTGCAGGCATGGCTAGACACAGGGAAACCTCCTGAATGCAGCCTTTGATGCAGGCAGGTGCCTGCACTCAGGAAATAGTATTCTGGGGCAGGCAGGTCCAACACATGCCAGGGCGATCTAGGGGTCGGCAGGGCCACCAGAAACACCCCTTCTGCTCCCCTTCCCCACACACCCACCTGTGGCACAGGCACATTTCTTGCAGGGAACAGATGGCACTTGTAATTCCTTTTTCTTTTTTGTTACCGTTTGAGGGAGAGCAACAAGATTTTCTAAAATGATTGAATGGAGGTTTCTTTGGCATGAGACAGAAAATTTTTAAAGGTATATTATATTTCTGGCTTGTTGTTACAGAATAATAATAAAGAATGTATTTTCCTATGCTCCTCCTTGTTTAAATGGGATCTCTGATAATAAAATTCCCTCTCTCCTCGCCCCCTGCAAAGGCAAACACCAGAGGGGTACAGCCAGCCACACGAGGAAGCCCCTCAATTCCCACACATGTATGCTGGTTTGTGCACACCGTTGGAACTTGGAATGAACATGCACATACACACACACAGGGTATATCAGCGTAAGGCAGGGTGAGGCTCTAGGACTAGGCTCACAGTCAAGGTGAGACCCTAAATCTAGAAACACACACACACAGAGCGCTCCAGGGACACAGCCAGACAAGGGTGATTGTGTAACAAGGATAAGATACTGTGGCAATCAGCTCATTACATAAAAGTAGAAAGGGCCAAATTAATCCCTAGTGTAAGAACGCAGAAGCCAATGGAGTTATATTCAGGTCAAATTTGATTCCAAAAGCTTTTTTTTTTTTTTTTTTTTTTTTTTTTTTTTTTTTTTTTTTTTTTTTTTTTTTTTTTTTTTTTTTTTTTTTTTTTTTTTTTTTTTTTTTTTTTTTTTAATTAGAACATAATGTAACAAATAGTGAGCTATGGCTTCCTACATCTCCAGATTCCTGACCCTCTTGAGCAAGGTTATTTTGAAACGGATGGAAATTGCAGTCTAATCCTATTGCACCCCAAGTACACAAGCTGTCACCCCTAGAGCTAAAAGAGTCTCTCCACCAGCTGTTCACTGGCTTGGTCTATCACACACAGCTAAGAAGTTTAAATTCACCACTTTGCCACTTTCAGTGCTAAGCATACACAGTTCATCACATTCTCATCCTGCGAGAAAAAGCTCATCCTGACGCAAGTGGAGCCACAAAAGATGTTAAGCCCCACCACAAGCGAACCCTTGTGCCACCGTACTCACTCTGCTATACTCAAGTCACCCCGTCAGTCTCAGGCTGATATTCAGAGAGAAACTGGGAACATAACCCAGATACTCTTAATCTGATAGCAGCTGAAGCATCAGTGCTGCTAAAAAGGTATGTGCTGCAGGAGAATCACCATTACTGTTTAATAGCATGGTGTCTATGACATATAGTTTAGTCTAATTTTGCCATGTAGGTAGAGGAGTGCACACAGATACTACTAAGCAGTTCATATGATACCAGAAACACAGAGCAGAAAAAAAGCAAAGCCAACATACTCATCTGATGACTCTAGGCTTTTTCAGTTCATGAACTATCTGGGAGCAGGCTGTAATTTTCTGCAATTTGATTATTATAATTTGATTATTATTTTATACTGGCAAATGTATTTGTCCTGCTTACATATCTACTCATGCACACATATAACACCATATATCACCATGTAATTATGTATACATAACATATAAAACTTATAAAAGAGAATTCCCCTTCAGTATCTTGTTCATCAGCAGCCTGTTGTGCTGCCTTGAGGAG